AGGGTCCGACTGACCCGTTGGATAAAGGTCAGGGTACAGGGTCCGACTGACCCGTTGGGTACAGGTCAGGGTACAGGGTCCGACTGACCCGTTGGGTACAGGTCAGGGTACAGGGTCCGACTGACCCGTTGGGTACAGGTCAGTTAGGGTTTAGGGTCCAGTCAAACGCTGTATGTCTAACATTATTAACATATTTTGGTATGTGTGAAAAGTTGGGTTGTTCCTGCATGCGTGTCACTCATCCTGGTTCTATGATGTCATCACCAGGTGACCAAAGAGGAGTTCATCAACTATTACAGCGGCGTCAGTGCTTCCATCGACAGCGACGTTTATTTTATTCTCATGATGAGAAACGCCTGGAAGCTCTGAGAAATCTAACCCACAGAACCACCTCCTYACCTTTTAAAACTTTCAATATTAATATTAATTTTTCTTCTCTGCTGTCATTTTGTTTGTCTAAATTATTGTACGATATTTAAAATGTTACATCTGACTGAACAAACTGAGTCTTGTCTAAATGTGACATCAGATGTGAGTAAAAKCAGGAAAATGTTCACATGAATTTATTTATTAAACACTTAAAAAATAATGTGCAATCAGACGATAAGCTTCAGTTTGTACAGAGAGGAACAATGTGCGGGGAAACAGGTTTGGGTTCAGAACCGAGTCGTGATGTAAAACAGCTCCACTGTTTTTATGCAACAAACAGGTTACCATGACAACACATCTGGACCTGCTCCACAGATGACTCAGCATGCATGTGCTYCAGAAGTCCGGGTTCAGATGTGTTCAGATTGGAGCAGATTTTTAAAAATCTCAGAGGTTTTTCTTTGTTTTAGTTTATAATTGAGTTAAAACAATATTTTGCAGACAGAACCTGAGAGCTACACATGAAGGTTCTGGGTCAGGGTTTAGGTGTAGGGTCATGGTGGTCCTCACTCTGAAAGGGTTTTACAAGTTGACCCCCATCCAGCCCCACTTTAATAAACGTACAGAGGGGTCTTCACCCTGTGAAGGGTCTAGTGTGCAGGGTTCTCCTGGTTCTGTAGAAAAAAAAAAGTTCTGATACGTTGGGTCAATCTAGTCTTAGAAGGTCTCAAGGATCTGGTTTTCAGTTGTCTCATTTTAGAGGCTCTGGGGTACCTAAGGTGGTTCTACTGATCTTCAGGAACATTCAGACAATAAGGAACCAGATATTAGGCCTGTAGAGGTTCTGTGGGCTGGTTCTGCTTCACATGAGTCCAGTCAGACAACAACACACTCTTTCACTCTTTAAGGTAGACCATGTGAAACCAGCCGTCTGTCAGGAAACATTTCTCCTGGTTGGCCTGTCTCCAGTCAGAGAGCAGCTGGAAGTCCATCTGAGGACAAAGTCTGGAGACATGGTTGGGTTTGTCCTCTGATGTTTGCAGAAACTTTAAAGGAAAAGAAAAGTCTTGAGGTGAGGAAGGTGAGGTCATGTAGAAAAGCAGGAACTGTTCAGTATTTCTGTACAATCTTCCTTCCTGGAGCCAGACCTCATTCTTCTCAGAAAACTTTCAGAACATCTGCAGAACGTTTGATAAAGACATGTTTAAAAGTTCTGGACTTCTTTGGATAACTTTAAAATCATTTTTAAATGTAGACTCCATGCTGGTACAACCAAACCCTGCAGGGCCTCCACCAAAACCCACCCAGCAGTCCTCCCCTCAGAAACCTGACCAGTTCAGACCCTGAAAGTCCAGCAGGAACCTACTTGATCTGGTAGAAACTGGACATGGTGACGTAGGCCTCTTCCTGCTGGTTTASCCCAAACTCCACCTGGTTTCCTGTGCCTCCTGCAGACTGAGGTGTGTGAGGTCCATCCTCCTGCTGCAGGACAATCAGGGYGGTCAGGGTGCTGCTCGGGAGGCTGTCCTCTCCGTCAGAGGAGCTCCTGCTCAGCAGGGCAGAGATCTCCAGCTCCTCTGTGCTGTTGCTGGTGGTGCTGGTGCTGGTGCTGGTACTGGTGCTGCAGTCGGAGCTCTGGATGGAGCTGGACTGGGAATCATGAGGAGCAGCAGGACGAAGAAAAGCTTCTGCTTTATTACAGTCAGCTTTCTCCAGTGGGTAGACTTTCAGAGAACTGAACACCTCAGGGTTCAAGTTCAGCAAAAGACCCTGAAAAACATCAAACGGATCTTTTTTTATTATCTGGGTGTCAAAATAATCCCTCAAACTGTCTTCAGCTGGTTCCAGTTTCTGTCCGTGAGGCTGACACTCTGTCTACTTTTAAGATTAGACTGAAGACTTTCCTTTTTCAGAAATCCTATAGTTAGACT